TGGATTATTTGCCTAACAAGTTCTTTTCTATTTTCTATATACTTCCACACACACACACACACATACATTTATATATATATATATATATATATATATATATATATATGATTACACACACACACACATACATACATATATATATATATATATATATATATATATATATATGATAAAATATAGTCATGTGAGTTGAAGTGTTCAATATCAGGGATAGACCGTATGTAGATATAATTATGCATAATATACATCGTCTCTGTACAAACCAATATCATTTGTATTAATTTCATAGTATGCTGTAAGGTTGTATAATATAAAAAGGCCAATGAGATTCAGATGACTCAGCTGAGTCTAGTGATCCCATTGTGATGTCAAATTGGTCGCAAGAATTCTTAACCCATGGGCTTATGGTTATTAGAAACTCAACGAACTTCAAAATAGATAGAATTAGAAAGTTATTATATAAAGAATTTAAAAGCATGGGCTTAAAAATTACGGTTAGTACTAAATTAAAAAAAGTAGACGTCCTAGATATAACTTTAGATCTAAATAAAAATACATACACACCTTATAAAAAACCCAACACCAATCCTTTATATATACATCCTAAATCAAATCACCCCCTATCTATAATTAAACATATACCGTTATCTATCAGTAAACGAATTAGTACAAATTCAGCAAATAACAAGATTTTTGATAAGCATATCAATTCCTATAATAAGGCTCTAAAAGATAGTGGCTACAAAAACCCAAAACTAGCTTATATAAAAAATGAAAATGGAAAGCATAGAAAAAACAGATGTAGAAAAATTATTTGGTATACTCCCCCATATAACCAAATGGTAAAGAACAGATTAGGACATAAATTCCTCACATTAATAGTCAAGCATTTTTCTAGTGAAAGTAAACTAAGTACTATTTTCAATAAAAACACACTAAAATTAATTTATAGCTGTACAAAAAACTTAGAAAAAATCATTAAGAACCATAATGCTAATATCTTAAATAAACAATTATACCAAAACCAAAAAAGTTTAGACAATGGAAAAATTAAGATAAAAACTGATGGAAATAAACAAAAACTATGTAACTGTAGAAACTCTCAAAATTGCCCACTACAAAATAAATGTCGCACTGAATCATTAGTATACCAATGCAATATTTCTTCGATTGAAAGTCCTGATAACATAAAAATATATATAGGTTGCACTAGCCATGAATTCAAAAAAAGATTCATCCAACATCAAACTTCATTTAGAATAAATAGATATAAAAATCAAACATCTCTCTCAAAATATTTCTGGCATCTAAAAGAATCAAATAAAACACCTACAGTAAAATGGAAGTTAATAAGAAAAGCTAGAATTTGTAGATCATTAAACGACCCGTGTCCTCTATGCATACAAGAGAAACTATATATTACTAAGTTTATAAAAAATTAAAATTTACTGAATCAGAGAAATGAAATAGCTATTTTTTGCCGTCGTTGTCAAAAATTTTCCTTAAATAATATTTAGAAATAAAATTAAAAATGGGAGCTGGTAATAAACTTACTTGTATTCAATAAAAAAAAAATAATACTATTATTTTTGAATAATGTAAGTAATTCTATTTCATTTACTTGGTTTTAAAAAGAAATATAGTCTATTAGTAATTAAGAGCAAAAATATTTTAAAATAGTAGTAAAATAAAACGTAAAAAAAGAATATTTAAATATACAATTAAGAAAAAATGCCGAAAACCTTTTTGGCCGTTAATATGAAAAAAAAACAAAAAAAAAACAGACGACATGCATTTAACTGATGTCACAATTCGGTGAAAAATACACCCCTACCCTCCCTAAAATTAACCTCTTTTTCGAACATAAATAAAATGAACACGCTACAGCCGCTGCCTGAATGATTGGATTTCCCTGTCTCCTTGAAAACAGGAAATTATGAATTTATATGCGTTTAAAACTCAGTAAATTTAAAAACAAGTTATTCCAATATTCGCTTGAAGATGAAACGGAACAAATGCTTTTAATTTAATTAGATAAGTTTTAGCTTCCATATTTGAAACATGGTTATTACTGTGTAGCGAAAAAACATATTTTCAATCAGTTAATTTATAATATATATATATATATATATAATAATTTTGGCAATGATACCGTCCTTTTGGTTAAGCGAATATATATATATATCTTTCCACAAATAGCATATATATATATATAATCGACTATGTTAATTTGTACAGAAGCATGGTCTTTTTTGCTACAATTCTGTTACACTTGGGATATACAGATATACAATCTCCAGCTTCGTTCTGCATGGTTACTGTTTTTGTTATATCCTGAACTTGAATAAAGTTCAATAGTTTAAAAGAAAATAATGCTTTAGAATAATAATAATAATAATAATAATAATAATAATAATCAGGTTGTACGGTGTCGGCACCCACTGAATATAAAACCCGACATGACAGAGTGGGCCAATATCTGCACTGGAAAATCTGCAACTTCTACGGAAGGAAACTGAAAGAAACTGGTATGCACACCACCCAGACCCGGTTACGGAGATAGGACCTGTTACAATTCTATGGGACTACACAATACACACTGACATAACAATCAAGGCCAACCGGCCAGATATTGTTATTAAAGACCACAAACAAAAACGGTGCCTCCTTATTGACATGGCAGTCCCTGCTGACTTCAATGTATCTTTGAAGATATTCAAAAAGTTGTCAAAGTACAAGGACCTTGAAATAGAAATCTCGAAAATGTGGCATATGGGAACATCAACAATCCCTGTTGTAGTTGGAGCCCTAGGACTGGTTGGAAAAGATTGCAGTAGACTAATTGAAGGGATTTCTGGAAGTCCATGCCTCAAGGAGATATAAAAAATTGTTCTGACAAGTACAGCCTACACCTTACGAAGGTCTTTATCTATGTAATTTTTTTTTGTTTTTTTTTTTGTCAGTTGAAAGTGTCATGACGCCATTTCTAACCTTAGGTCCCTGAGCGGGACCCGGAAAGAAATGTGTAAACACCAGAAATCAAAGAAAATAAAAAATAATGATAATAATAATCGCAAGGAATCAAGTCACTGCCATGGGTAACCCAAAGTCCTGACATGAATCTAATAGAGCATGTCTGGGAGCATCTTGAATGAAAACTTGTAGAGCGTGCCACCAAAATCACGTCAGTGGCAACCATTAAAATAACATTGATTGCTAAAGGAGTGGCAAAATAGGGATCAGACTATTAATGATAACTTGATCAAATCCATGAAAAATGAAATACAAGGACTGAAACTAGAAAATGGAGGAAATACTCCATACTAGTTCCAAATGCTCTTTATTTACGATGTGTTGGGATTACGTAATTAAATTTTGAAATTGCATGTAGTTTATTTCTCCTGGCTAAAAACATTTTCTTAGGACATCGTTCACCCAAAAGGATACTTCGCCGATTATTACAATGTTAACCTATTCAACTCTCGGGTTAAGCGTTCATTTCCCCACATATTCTCATAAGCTGTCCCTCTTAGCCCTTATCCATAGCCTCTATTTCAGTGGAACTTTGGCCTTTTACAGAGTGAGCATTATTGTAAAAATAACTGTCTGACAGAATTGGCGTCGATCACATTCCAACTGCCGTAACGCAATTGTTCTGATGAACTTTCGTCTTTGGTACATCGACTTTAAGAATTTATGCGCACTACTAGATTTGCAGTAAGGTCTCACCATTTTACAGTTTAAATAACTAGATGTAACGGTAAGTTCTATACTAACAGTATCTTCTATCGCACTTCCCGCCTGTGGAACTCACTTTCAGCTTCTTGCTTTCCAATCAAATTTGACTTTGAAAGATTTAATTTTATCTTCTGTCTTCTAAATTTCTGTTCTTTTAATTTTTTCTCTCTTTAATTATTATTTTTTAATTATTTTTCCATATTCTTTCATACTTAATAGATCATGTGACGTAGTGACTTTATTGCGTTGCTTGGGGTGAAATGATTAAAAATGAAAGCGGAAAATTTAATATAAGTTAAGTTAGGCCAGTTTATGCTACAGGTTATAAAAGTGTTAAGGTATTCTACATAGGTTCAAATACGCTCAATTCTCATTGTATCCACTGATAGGCGGGGATAATATTGTTCGTGTGGATATATAGTAGATATGAAGAGATACGTACATATATACATATACTGTGTGCATTCTAGAGCCCTCATTCTTATTGCGATTCCTTGCATTAGTAACCTTCAATTCTGAATGTCTATTGATTTTGAATGAGGCTAGCCCTATTAGAAACTCTTTTTTACATGGGGTTCATCCTGTATAAGGCCCGGGGCCCACTCGAGATAGGGGTTACAGAGTAAGAGGTAGTTTATGCGGATAGGAAAGAAAGATAACGGTTAACCGAAGATTTGTACAGTTTATAGTTTTAGTGATCGGGAAACCATCATCTTGGGAATCTGTTCCACAGGGCAGTGACTCGCAGGAAGTAGCTCTGTCTGTCTGTCTCTTTCTTTCTCTCCCTCTCTGTATATATATATATATATATATATATATATATATATATATATATATATATAAGGGACTCTCCGGTCAACGTATGAGGATCCGACAGCGTATTGATTCAGTTATGAAATTTTGTGCGATAATCATAAGTAGCATTTAAGACCCGCTAGTGATTTACAAAGGAAGCCACATATGAAGCAAGTGTGAGGATTGTGAGATGAGATCAATGTTAGATTGGCTGACCTTTTAGATCTTGCTCTCGCTTCTTGAAGATGATTCAGAAAAGCAGATTAAAAATTGCTGAGTCCACTAAAACACGTTGATCTCCATTCTACCCGCTCCAAGGCTTGGCGCTCAAGGGTGATATATGGTATATTGACTGCTGACAAGTTGCTTTTCAGCTTGTCTTTGTGTCTAAGCCATGGGCGTCCTACATTCCTGTAGCCCTGATCTAACTGGCTGTACATTAGGATCTTGGGTATCATTGTCATCAGACTGAGACTGTAACCTATCTATCTATCTATCTATCTATCTATCTATATATATATATATGTACGTATCTGTTCATATCTACTACATATCCAACACTCTTTTCTTTGTTTTCAAGTTAAATATTCTGTTTCTCAACACTTTGTTTCGCTTTTAGAATACTTTCTTCATTAGTTCAGCCCTTCTTTGATGTTTCAGTGTGGCCTTTTCCATCCTCTTTTAGAACACTTCATCAGATATTGAAACTGCTTGTGCCTTCTTGATGTTGACGTCTCCAATTGGCATCACGCAACTTGGGTTGCTTCTTGATTGTTACGGCACGTAATCTTGTTGAGAATGCGTTCCAACAGCGACCTTCGAAAACATTACCATAAATATGGTTGTTAAGTTGAAACAGGTGTTTCAATATACAATGGTGCTAATTACTACATTGGCGCCGTATTTAGATTATAAACAACAAAAAAAGAACTATAACTCGATTAAAATTCTTTGATATGTTTCTGTGAAGAATCTCAAAAACTACAAAATACAAATATTATCTAAGCTAGAACAATTTTATAGAATTTGTATAATAAACTAAATTGATTTTATAATTAAATTTAGCGTTTCCTAAGCCCCAAAACCTAGATAATAAATTTTCCTCAAGAAAATTTAATCTGGGATGTTTTTTTTTTTTTTTGTTTTTTTTTAAAGTTTTCTGGTACTTTGTTTAATTAATGTTTGTAATATTCAATAAAAAGAAACTGGCATTTTCGAAACCGGAATAAAAGCATGATAATTACTTATTATATTCTTTGACAAAAATAGATATTTCTGGAATAATTCTGCTTGAGTTATATTAATTAATATTTCTAAATTTTCCGTGTAACAAAGATGTTAATCTGACAATTATATAAATCTGATTCCTTTTCTTTAAATCGTGTTAAGTATTTTTTGGATTCAGGAAATTTTGTTGAATGATCTTAGAGGAAATATTTATGTTATTTTCAAAAAAAAATATTTCTGTTTTAATTACAATCTTGTCAGTTAGAAAATTAATCATTCAAGATATTTGAATACATGAGATTATTGTTATTTTTTTTTCAATTAAAGTCGATGCATAAATTCCAGATATACAAATATGAAGATTGCCAATTCCCTTGTATGAACAGAGCCCTCAAATAGGTCGCCGAGAATGAGATTGTCCTCCCCGCTAAATCCAGTAAGCACAATGGCATCCGCCTGATTGCTGACGATCTGCATGAGACAGCTTAGATTCAGTGATAAAAACAAGGCAAGGTATTTGGAGACTGTCTTTGACCCACACATTTCGAGTAGTCAGATAGTAAGGCAAGGGCGATGTAGTTGATGCCCGAAATTTATCAAAATGATATGATATCCAGACTCGGCTTCAGTCACTGTCACATCACTGTCAATGTTTCTCATTGGTTTTTTGCTTTGAGAATGCCCACATTGGACGAAACGCGTCAGCAACTAATACAGTTTTCCTATTGTCATATATATATATATATATATATATATATATATATATATATATATATATATATATATATATATTAGTTTCATTAAAGTTTCATGACTGATAGGGGCAAGACAATCACTTTTGCCATTTTAAACTGTGGTCATATGTATTATTTTTTTTTTATCTGAATAAAAAAACACCATTCAGGTTAAATATTTGGATGACCTCTTCTCGATAGTACCCAGATTTATTTAAAAATTTAAGCGTGGTACTAGACTGGTGTGGCGGTCTCAAAAATGTAAAGTCTAGCTTGCTAGTTGTAACCGTAAATTCTATGCTGATAGTTTCTTTTCTCGCACTTCTCGCTTGTGGAAATCTCTTCAGGGTCCTTACTTTCCAGCCAACTTCGAACTTCAAAAATTAAAATCAATGTTAATCGCTATCTACTGTCCTCCTGGTTACTTTTTTCTTCCTGTTCCTTATTAATATTTATATTCCTAATTCTTCCACATCATGTAACCCCTTGTATTTTAGTGGCTTTACTGCCTAGCTTGGTGTGATACCATTATATATATATATATATATATATATATATATATATATATATATATATATATATATATATGTAGTCAGCATCCGCAGAGAGACTGTTTCGCTGTATCATATCACAGCTCATCAATGTCGCTTTACATCTGAACCCTTCAAGCCGGGACCGAACCCGAGCAATATGGCATCAGTCGGAGAATCTAATTCGTAGGCTATCAGCGTCTGGTAGAGAGAAAACCGAATTTTTACGTATTTATTTATTTATTTTTCATAAACACACCAGTCGCTTAGAGAACTCACTGCAAGTTGGAGAGTCTTGCATTATCAGCTGTAATAGTGACTGTTTACAAACCTACGATTTTCTCCCACAGTGCTCGACCGATTTAATTATTTTTCGTGTGTGGTGGGGGGTTAGACAGACATGGAGAGAATACTACTATTATTACTACTACTGCTACTACCAAAAATAATAATATAACATAATATTTGGAAAATATCTATACATATATTTATATGTAATATTTATAATACATGTAGGTTTACAGGGAATTATTAAAATTGTTTTAATTTCATGTTACTTTTAGAACAAATAGCGTTACTTTACCCGGTTTCACTTTGGGATTTTCGAAAATGTTTATTAGATTAACACTTGCCGATGTTGAAATCCAGAATTAAAGAAAAAAAATCAAGGGATATAACTGTTTTTCTCGCTTATGGTAAGAAAATTATGATATAATCTTATTTGAGGGACGTACATCTGGTTATGCAGTGAACTGGGTTTTGATTCAAACTTGATGACGCTTAATAATAATTCTCTGTAAGCATATATATATTATAAATATTATATATAAATATGTAAAAAGATTAAGTCGTTTTGCCAAATATTATTATTATTTTGTCTTGTAGCCTCTGTCTATCTGTTTATTATCTTCTATATATATTAATCAGTATGTACAATGGAAAGTGAAATAGTTCTGGAAAAACTTTATTTATTGTTTGTGTTGTAAGAATCTGCACACTAAAATAAGTTCACATCATTTTCATGTTAGGGAGGCGACAGGTCTAGCTAATACAGACTGCAAGCATTTTAAACCGGTGTCAAATATAGTAATGCTTCTTTCAGGACACCAAAAATAAAAAAGCTAAGTCGTCATTGACACCATGTCTTTCATTATAACGGAAAATCGGAACGAGGCTTCAGTTGGTTAAAGTTGCACACTTTCAGGATTTAGAATTTTCTAGCTTTACTTCTTGCAAGCAATGTGCACTTGTTTTTTTTCTTCTTCTTTAATGCAAGATCTAAAACAATCTCTTTTCAACATTTTTTTTAGCGTTTCACCCCAAGCAAGGCGGGAAGCCACTAGCACGCAAGGGGTTACAGAAAATTTAGAGCAAGATCAGATAGGAGTGATAGAGGAAAAGATGAGGGAAGGATAGTGGATAGATCAAGACAACTAGAGATATCGATTGACATTACATTAGAATAGCTGGAGATTATAGCTCTCAGGGAAACTGGAATAGGGAAGGGAGTTCCACAGGCGAGAGGTACGAGACATGAAGCTATTGGAGTAGAAGAGACGGCTATGTTTATGAGTTTCGCCAGTGAAAGGGTGAGAGCGGGATGCCAGTCTCGTAGGGCGCTTGAACTCATGAAGTCTGGGAACCAGCGAATGCAGCTCCTCGGAGCAATTGCCATGAAAGTATATGTAAAACAGACAGAAAGAGACGACGAGATGCCAGATCACGGCCAATTATATTGCATATCTGCCTCTGGAGCCTATCAAGAACCCCGAGACTCCAAGGGTTTTGGTGGTAGGCCCCTATAACAATATATAGTCTGAAACTACATTACCCAGGGTACTTGGAGAAGTATATTTCATTTAGAACAAAGGGGGGGGGTCTACGGGGACACAAACACCTGCCTGATTTTTTTTTCCATTTGATATAAATCAAATTTAAATTTGTGCAAGGGAATCAATATTAGGGTACTTGGATAAGTATATCTCATTTTGATCAAATAAGTAAGTGGTAGTGTTCCCGGTTTCACAAATCCCCCATTGAATTTTTTCCCTTTGATTTAAATTAAATTTAAATTGGAACCAGGGAATGACTTCCTGGGTAATTGGGTACGTATATTTAATTTTGAACAAAGGGGGTCGACGGAGAAAGCCAATTAAAAATTATTTTTCCTTTGATTTAAATTAAATTTAAATTTGAACGAGGGAATGACGGCTAGGGTACTTGGATAAGTACATTTCATTTTGATCAAAAGGCCCCCCCCCGGGTTGCAGTGGTGGGGAAATCCCCATTTAATTTTTTGCGTGTTCAAGTTTCGCACGCAGTTTTCTTTTAGTTTAACGCCACACCTTTTATCTCCCATATCACCCTCACTAGCTACGGGTTAAATAACAAAAAGGATTTGGGTGAAAGACTGAGATGGTTGGTTGGTTTTATCGGTATATCAACAGCTATGGGTCATTTAATGATAGTTCGTTTTGATTTGTTTTGTTTTTGGGCATCCCTACCTCAATGTGTTATTTAATGCCGACAAGATTTTTATTGCTGGTAATATTTTTTATCTATCTATCTGTCTGTCTATCTATCTATCTATCTATCTATCTATCTATCTATCTATCTCAATGTATATTGGTTTAGTTTGATTTGTTTTACGGCATATCAACGTCAATGGCTTATTTAATGCCGACAAGATTTTTATTGCTGGTAATATCTATCTATCTATCTATCTATCTATCTATCTATCTATCTCAGTGTATATTTTGGTTTGGTTTGTTTTACGGCATATCAACCTCAATGTGTCATTTAATGCCGACAAGATTTTTATTGCTGGTAATCTATCTATCTATCTATCTATCTATCTATCTATCTATCTATCAGTATATATTGGTTTGGTTTGGTTTGTTTCACAGCATATCAATCTCAATGTGTCATTTAATGCCGACAAGATTTTTATTGCTGGTAATCTATCTATCTATCTATCTATCTATCTATCTATCTATCTATCTATCTATCTATCTATCTCAGTATATATTGGTTTGGTTTGGTTTGTTTTACGGCATATCAACCTCAATGGGTTATTTAATGCCGACAAGATTTTTTATTGATGTTAATATTCAAAAAAATGTATTGCTGGCAAAATCCTTTTTTTTTTTCAGAAATGTATTGCTGGTAATGATTTTTTCCCAAAAAAATATTGCTGATATGAAAACCTATATTTATACTTTCGTAGAGTTTTGACCACTTTTGGTCGGTGAACTATTTACCCATAGTTGGGACCCTGACAGGTGCCAACCACATCACCACTTACATCTGTCCACCTAACTCCACAGAATGCAACATTCTTGATTATTACGTGTAGGGCGCAGTTGAGCAGAAGACCAACAAAACTACTTGTAAGATCGAAGATGAACTGAAGGCAAAGATTATGGGATCATTCACTAACGTAAACAAGGAGACTGTCCAGAAGAGTTGCAGGAGATTCCGAAGTCGTCTGTAGTCGCTGGTTGAAGCCAAATTTGGTAAATGTATCTGTTAAAATGAGAAGTCAGTGCTATTTTCATTTTTGCGCAATTTAGACGATAATTTATCCATCGCACCCAGTATATAGCGTGTAGACAACACTATTTTAGAGAATTTAACAAGATCAGTTTCAGGTTTCAAGAGGAAATTTCAGAAATACATTCACGCACGCGCACACACGCACAGACCATCACACCATCAAAACACACACACAAAGACATATATATATATATATATATATATATATATATATATATATATATATATATATATATATACAGGTGACGTAATATAAATATTGTTATGGTCCAAGTTCCTTGTACCACGGTGATGTTCAAAGGTTAGAACCATTGAAAGCATAACACGAACACAGGTATGGAATACAAAGATATATTACAACAGAAATATAATACAAAAAGTAGAAGTATTAGTAATGACTATCAGATTTGGTTAGAGTGAACTATGTTGTCTCGACAAGTATCACTATTCAATGTCCTTACAATATGCTCTCAATTATCTCTCCTCGTCTTACAAACTCCTGATACCTCTTGAGAGGCGCAGTATTTATAATGTCAGGAATAGTCCATTATTATTATGGGTAAGTTCCTTTATAACAATATATATATATATATATATATATATATATATATATATATATATATATATAACAATATATATATATATATATATATATATATTCAGTTGTATGGATATGAGTTTGTGACCCTGGGTCTCACGGGATCATCAGACAAACAAAAAAAGAGAACATTCTGTAACTGATATTTGTGCAAGAATGTTATCATCATAGCAAGAGGTAAAGAATTGACAAATTCGCAAAAGAACTGATTGTCATACTATAGAAAGAAGGTAAAAGTTACAAGAAAATCTTAGACAACCTGAATATTCCATTTACTGCCACTAGTTCATTTATTGCAAGTTATAAAAATAACTCAAAACTTTTGAAAACCAAAGAACATTGCTCCACGGAAAATTCCTTCGCGATCTTCGAGAAGGAATTTACGCGGCAAATAAAACAGTCAAATGGATACTCGTCAAGAGTTTCAGGATGATTTTCTTTCATCAAAAATCTGTGTCACTAAATGGACAATAAGCAATGACATTCATAGGAACAATCTAAAATCACGCTCCTCTCGGAAAACTCCACTGCAATTAAAAAGGCAGAGATGCTAGGTTGAAATTCGTTCGTGAAAATAAGGATAAGGAAAAATCGTACTGAGAAAGCGTATTACGGACAGACGAAACCAAAATTGAGTTGTTTGGGCGTAATTCGAAAAATCATGTATGGAGAAAAGATGGCGACAAAAATCAAACGAAACAATTCCAACAGTGAAATTTAATGGTGTGGGCATCATGTTCTGGGGTGTTTTTTCTGCAACATATCAGTAATAGATGTTAGAATGATTGACGCAGCATATCAAAATATTTTGGAAGCAAATTTAATGATTTCGGCTGAACCACTTGAACTTCCTCCAGATCGGCTTTTTCAACAAGATAACGATCCTAAGCTCACTGCAAAATCTACGAAGAAATGGCTTGCTGAATATAATGTAAATAGGCTAAAATGGCCGAGTCCGTCCTCAAATTTAAACCCAATCGAGAATCTGTGGCGTTATTTGAAAACTAAAACCCAATCGAGTGTTCCCACTAACATCCCGGATCTAATGACCATATGCGAAGAAGAATAGGACAAAATAACTACTAAAATTTGCACCTCATTAATTGACGACAACAAGAAGGGGTTGGTTGCTGTAGAAGTGAGTAATGGCTATTCTAGAAAGTATTAAAAGTGGATTATGTATTCTTTTTTGTATTGTATGAATAGTTTTTTTCACACATTAAAACGGATAAAAAGGATTTATTTCTATTAGATCATTTTTTTTTGTTTCCTATGAATTCAAACAAAAGAACAGTTCAAACATTGAAATTTAGTGGTAGCAGCATCATGGTTTGGGGATTTGTTTTCCGACAAAAGGTACTGGCAACATATTAATAATAGATGGTAGAATGAATGCCACATCGTATCAAAATATTTTGGAATCAAATTTAATGATTTTGGTCTTCCTCCAGATTGGCACTTTCAACAAGATAATGATCACACTGCAAAATCTACAAAGAAGTGGCTTGCTGAAAATAATGTAAATATCCTGAAATGGCCGAGTCATTCCCCAGATTTAAACCCAATCGAGAATCTTTGTCGTTATTTGAAAATTGCCATCCAATCGCGAAACATCCCGAGTCTGAAGAACATATGCGAAGAAGAATTTAGCAAAAAACCATCTAAAATTAGCAAATCATTGAGAACTACAGGAAGAGGTTGGTTGCTATAAAAGTGAATAATGGCTATTTTACAAAGTATTAAATGAAGATTATGTATTCTTTTTGTATTGCACACATATTTTTTATCCTTTAAAGAGGATAAATGAGATTCATTTCTATTAAATCAAATATTTGTCTGTTTTCTATTCATATTTAGTTATTATGAATTTGTGTTCAGTTAATTCTATGAAAAGTATATTTATTCATTAGTTGGAAATACAATAAATTAAAATTTCTATTTGCAAGAATATTTGTTCCCCCTCTCTCCCTTCTTATATATATATATATATATATATATATATATATATATATATATATATATATACAGATAAGAAACAATTGCTTATTTAATGTTTATTTAATTTTGTTTTTTTATAATTTCCATTCACAAATTTGAATATAAATTGTGCAATTTCAGCTGAAGAAGTATTTCCTTCTCTGTCTGTCTCTCTGTCTATCTCTCCTTCTCTCTCTCTCTCTCTCACTCTCTCTCTCTCTCTTACACACACAATCCCTCGAGGTTTGTCTCTCTTTGCTCATCAACTCTCTTCAATAGTTCTGTTTACACTTTCTCTTTCTCCCACTCTTATATTCTCACACTTTCTCTCGCATGTGTTTTCTATTCGGTTTCTCTCTTGCACTCTCCCACTCTCTCTCTACCTATTCACATATCTCTTTCTCTCTGATATTACCAATACGTTCGCTGAGGAGAAATTTCTCATTTCCTGTGATTTAGTTGTACAATGAATACCAACGTAAAGTATTTACCATTTATTTATAAATTTTCTACCTTAACAGTTTGATTTTCTTGCTTTCCGGATAAGTTGTCCAATGTATAATGAATCCTTTTTCCGTTTACCAAATAAAAACCAATACGAAATCGCAGACAAAGAGACAAAATACTAATCTCTGAAGGCTATCTATCTATCTATCTATCTATCTATCTATCTATCTATCTATCTATCTATGCTTGCTCATATCTATCTATCTATTTATCTATCTATTTCAATCTGATCCTTCCTTCCTATCTATCTATCTATCTATCTATCTATCTATCTATTTCAGTCTGTTTCTATCTATCTATCTATCTATCTATCTATCTATCTATCTATCTATCTATCTATCTAAGCTTGCTCCTATCTATCTATCTATCTATCTATCTATCTATCTATCTATCTATCTCAGTATATATTGCTTTGGTTTGGTTTGTTTAAGATCTATCAAACTCAATGGGTTATTTAATTCCGACAAGATTTACGTATTTAGCACCTCTACTTCAGAGTTTCGTAGACGAATCTTTGTATTCCCTCCACTCGTCAGGAGATATAAACAAATACTTGTCAGTTTTCTCAATTTCGTTATTTTTATACGAAGTTTTAAAATAATATAATTGATGCGCATTTTCCTTGGTATTACGTTGATTTTTCTTGTGGCAGTGCGTGCGTGTGTGTATGCATGTGTGCGTATGTCTATACGTGTGTGTATGTGTCCAAGTGTAGTCGGCATTTTAGTCCTTTCTGGTTCATCTTTCTTTGTCTTAATGCTGTATAGATTTTCTGAAGTGTTTTATTAATTTTATATCATCATTTGGAATAGTCATATATTGTCTGGGTTCGTGCATGCCTGTGTGTGTTATATCGATAAACACTTATTCCAACATGTACTTATCAACATTAGTTTGATATGAAGTTCCACTCTACTAGTTTTGATGCGACATAATGTAAGGTTATTAACAGAAAGAGGACAATGTAAGATACGAACTACAATTTAACTGGGAGTTGGTACAGCAGACAATGGAAAATATGACACCGAAAATCGGAGCTCCCGAAATTTAAACGCAAGAAACAGACAAATTTGGTGAGAAAGGCAAAGAGTACATTATTTACATTATTCGGACTATTGTTTTCATCTTTGTCGCCATATTTATTACAGCGTTTCGGCCGTTCTACGCTCCAGTGGTTGGAATGTCGAACTTAACCCTTCATTTCGCTCACTGGGGTAGACTGTTCTAGTTCCACGTCAGTTATTTCCTGTTAATTTCCCTCTCCGCTGCCTAAACCAGGTATTGAACTCACACACTTTGGGCCCTGTCACTGGATCTAACTAACGTCTTTATCCACTGTTCTATGTGTTCTTGAGGACATCTGTGTATGGATTTCTGGGTATTATAAAACTAATGTCTTCAGCAACCATTTTTATCAGTGCTCATATAGCAATTTTTTGCTGTTATCATTGAAACGTTGTAATAATAAATATGGCGAGAAAGATGAGGACAATAGTCCAAATAATGTAAATAATGTACATCATACATAGATGCTGAAGGCAAAGAGTGTAGCAGGCTTTTTTTCTTTTTTTAATATCGACATGCTATATGGCAGTGAACGCTGGGCAATTTCCTTAAAGATGTGGAAGAGACTTCAAGCAACAGAGAATGTTGAAGTAAAATAGTTGAAGGAAAAGGATGTTTAGATTATATTGGATGGAATATGTTTGCTTATCTCGAATTTGGAGGCACAAAGGGGGTAAACTGCACGCGTTTAAACAATTCTGTATTAATTAAAACTTTTTTTTTAAATATTTTCCAGTAAAATTCATCGTCTGTTAATATTTATATTAAAGATGGAAGGCAAATCATCTGGTTGTACTTTGCTGAGAAACCCGCACACAAAACAAGCATTATAAACTTGTAATTCAATACTCCTTATGGGAAGGTGGAATGGCCGCTAAGGTTGCGCTAAGTTATTAGGGTGGTGCAAAAAGAATGACGTAATAATGTCGTTTTTTGACCTTAAAAAATACGTCAAAAAACGACATTATTACGTCATTATTTTTGCACCAACCTAATATTTTTTTTTTAAATAACCAACCTGCAAACTACAAAAGAATTAGAAAATGTCGAAGTTATGAGGAACGCAGGAAGGAGAATGCAACATTTGCCTACAATCAGAAATTGGGTGGCGATATTTCTGGGACACATAATGAGGAAATTGGGTTTAGATGATAAGATACACATTGGGCATACTGAGGGAAGAGAAATTAGAGGGAAACTGCGAGCTTGTCTAAATGTATGGTAGTATATGAATGAGGAGCGATAATCAGGGGACATATTCTGCTTGAAGATATGGAGGGCCATGATCGCTCGCCCCTTGAATGGATACGGCAAATAAAAGAGGAAAAAAATATTAAAAATCATGATTTAATTAAGTGTATTAACAAAAAAAAAATGCTTATCTTGGGGTCATTTGTTAATACAAATTCTGCCTCATTAAAAGGCGTATATCTCTTTTTAACTCAAGACACACGCACAGACGTGTATATATATATATATATATATATGTAAGCAAATGTAAATGGATATAGATCCGACAGAATGAAGAAAAATTTGGAAAAAAAACAAACAAAAATCCTTAAATGCAATTATGTTGTTTAAAATGAATGAAATGTCGACGTCTGACGTTTCGGTTTAATAAACCTTCTTCATACACATAAAAATTTTAGATCCTAATAGAATTCTTTTCATTTTCTTTTTCATTCAAAATAATCAAAAAAATTTTAGGAATACGTTTTGAAAGCGTCGCCCATTTGACGACAACGTGACCATGCTAAACGGAAAGCTGATCATTTTAAAAATTTTCAGTTATCTGTTTTGGATAAGACTTGTTTTCATGTCCATCGTCTTTGTCAAATTGAACTGAATTGTATTTTAATGAATATTGTCCTGAAGAAGGTTTATTAAACCCGAAACGTCAGACGTCGACATTTCATTCATTTTAACAACATAATTGCATTTAAGATTTTTGTTTGTTTTTTCCCAATTTTTTTCATATATATATATATATATATATATATATATATATATATATATATATATATATATATATATATATATATATAAATTGTGGTTGCTCCTGCACGAAACCTTCACCACTATAATCAAATCTCATGTGCCGGTGTCGGGGCTGTCGGTTTCCAGGAAACTGATCTGCTTGACCCTCATACGTCGAATCTCGACGGGAGAGTCGATTATATATATATATATATATATATATATATATATATATATATATATATATGTATGTATGTATGTGTATATATATATATATATATATATATATATATATATATATATATATATATATATATATATAAAGATAAAGGAAAACTTATCTTAGCAGACTAATTTCGTCTTATGACGGACGAAACGCGTTGGCTAAGATAAGTTTCACTTTTATCTTTATTACTATTGTCCTGTTACAGATATACGATATCGGACATTTTTGCTCTCACACGTACACACACACACATATATATGTGTGTGTTTTGTGAGTGTCTATGTGTATACGTATGCGTAAAAAATGTCAGATATCGTATATCTATTTACATTTACACGTACACACACACACATATATTTGTGTGTGTGTGTGCGTATGTGTGTCTGTAAGGTTCTAACAATGTCATATGGGATAAATTTAATTGCATATAAACTACAATTATATTCGTCTATGTATAGACTCATATCTGAAGAAATTTATATATATATATATATATATATATATATATATATATATATATATTATATATATATATGTAATTGCGTATGTTTGTGGCTGGTTATTGATGAAAATGTAAAATATCTTTTGGCATAAAAGAATCGGATGTATTGCTGTTGCTATGGTAATGCCCTTCGACCTTGTCTGTCGCAAGCTGTCGGCTATTTTTTCTCTCGTGTGACTGTTTATCAACCCCGTCTTGTCCGTCAACCCAAACGAACTCTTCGAGCTCGCACCTTCCCTCAAATACCGACCCCCTCCTTGTTGTCAAAAACCCTGCGGAAATCATCTTGTCTCTTTTCTCATTGTCTCGCTTTGCCACTCACTCGAATTCTAGCCTTGAATTCTTGTTACTCTCATTTGCCAACTCTCTCTCTCTCTCTCTGTCAATCTCTCTCTGTCTCTATCTCTCTCTCTCTTTTAAGCTTGTCTTTCAACTTTTTTTTCCTTCTCATTTTCACCTCTCTTTCGAGTTCCCTGTTCTGTGTAAAATTCAGTCAATGTCTATATCTTTCATTTCTCTCTCTCTCTCTTTTTCTCTGTCTGTCAGTCTGTCTGTCTGTCTCTCTCTCTCCATTTCTCTCCATCTAGTATCGTCGCCATTTCCGTTTCGTGTATTTTCCCGCCTTATCCATCGTGTAACTTCATCGATCTGATCATATTTCTCTCTTTCTGTACTGATGTCAAATCTTGTTGTTGTTGTTGTTGTTGTTGTTGTTGTTGTTGTTCTTCTTCTTCTTCTTCTTCTTCTTCTTCTTCTTCAACGACTTCTTCTTTAACAATTTTGAGCAACTTTTTCCTCATCTTAAAAATACTTATTATTATTATTATTATTATTATTATTATTATTATTATTATTATTCAACTTCTTCCTCTTCCATGAATTCTTCAACGACTACTTGTTCTTTTTCACCGACTTCTTCAAAGTCTTTCCTTTTTTTCTCTAGAATACGTTTTCTCTCGCCTTCTCCCTGAAAATGTATCCCTTACTCTCTCTACTGGTTTTCCGTCTGACCATTTCTTTGTCTCTTTAATATTCTTTCACTGCTTCTATCATTTTTTCTACTCTTTCCTTCTCTCACCTCTCTCATCTCTCACCCTCTCTCTCTCTCTCTCTTGCTCGCTATTATTACGTTCACTCTATCAATAGAGAGCATCGTTTCCTCAATCTTTTTACCCTTGTGCCACCCTCGAAGGAGTTTTCATGCCGCAAGTATCTCCTGCACAGATATTATTATATACAGTGTAACCCGGATATAAGAGAGTTGTCGGGACCGGAGAAGAAGTCTCTTATATCCGGGTTTTTCTTATATCCGGGTTTGGTCTATTTTATATGCATTAACACAGGCTCTAATTTGGTACCAGAGAAAATCTCTCTTATATCCGGGTTTCTCTTATATCCGGGTTACACTGTATATAAAATAAGTGTATTAGTGTATATATATGTATATATATATATATATATATATATATATATTGTGTAACCCGGATATAAAAGAGTTGTCAGGACCGAAGAAGAAGTCTCTTATATCAGGTTTCTCTTATATCCGGGTTTGGTCTATTTTATATACATTAACACAGGCTCTAATTTGGGACCAGAGAAAATCTCTCTTATATCCGGGTTTCTCTTATATCGGGTCTCTCATATCCGGGTTACACTGTATATAAAATAATTGTATTAGTGTATATATATATATATATATATATATAGTGTAACCCGGATATAAGACACTTGTCGGGACCGGAGAAGAAGTCTCTTATATCCGGATTTCTCTTATATACGGGTTTGGTCTGTTTTATATACATTAACACAGGCTCTAATTTGGGAACGTAGAAAATCTCTCTTATATCCGGGTTTCTCTTATATCCGGGTCTCTTATATCCGGGTCACACTGTACCATTATCAATATCTCTTTCTTTCATATTTATATCGTAGTTCATGCGATAAGAGAATATATAGACACTCGAGTGAGTCACTCAATGATATATATATATCCGCCATGTTCAGGTCTCACACTGACGCCGAATTAACTTCGCTAAATTTCTTAACTATGATCGTCATAAATTTATATAAGACGTTTGAAGTCATTATTATAATAAGCAAGGAAGAGAGAGTGGGAGAGTGGAAGAGAGAAAACGAATAGGAAACATATGCGAGAGAAAGTGTGAGAATATAAGAGAGGGAGAAAGAGAAAGTGTAAACAGAACTATTGAAGAGAGGTGATGAGCAAAGAGAGACAATATGCCGTACGAGTATAATAAAATTACGAAGAAAAGTTCTAACAAAAACGACACAAATATGTATTTGCCTATTTATCACCGTTTCTCACAAGACAGCTAGCGACCTTTTGCGAAGCCCTAGTGTTCTGAGGAACACCGGTTGAGACATACTGATCTCGAATATATACAGTGTAACCCGGATATAAGAGAAACCCGGATATAAGAGAGGTTTTCTCCGGTCCCAAATTAGAGCCTGTGTTAATGTATATAAAATAGACCAAACTCGGATATAAGAGACTTCTTCTCCGGTCCCGACAACTCTCTTATATCCGGGTTACACTATATATATATATATATATATATATATATATATATATATATATATATATATATATATATTTGGTTGGATTGATGTGAGGTTGTGATCCTGGGTTTCACGCTTTTGCGATCGTCAGACAAACTGATTAATTTTTTAAAAAAATTGGGTTTATGTAGATTGCGTGTATTAGTGTTATTATGGGAGTGGGGGTGGGAATCGTCGTCGTGATGTCATCGTGCTGACGCAAACATAGATGCATGTCCGTACACCCGATGAGGTACGCAGACACACATACACACTCACGCGTACGCCAGGGCTCATGCAGATATAAAAATATGTGGACAGTTTGGGATTTGACATATGTATGTATATGTTAGGTCTATCTCTGATATTGAGCGCTTTCTAATAAGTACCGCGCATATAAATATATATATATATACAGTGTAACCCGCATATAAGAGAGTTGTCGGGACCGGAGAAGAAGTCTCTTATATCTGAGTTTCTCTTATATCCGGGTTTGGTCTATTTTATATACATTAACACAGGCTCTAATTTCAGAAAATCTCCCTTATATCCGGGTTTCTCTTATATCCAGGTTTCTCTTATATCCGGGTTACACTGTATATATATATATATATATATATATATGCACACACCTTTCCTCCCCACATATATATATATATATATATATATATATATATATATATATATATACTATTCTCATATTTTTTCGCAATTACACTTTTTTTTTTTTTTAAAAAACTTCTATTCGCATTCCGAATATTGCATCTCCCTTTTGCACGTTCTCATACGTGTTTTTTTTTTTGGGGGTGCCCTCTTTCTATCATCTCCCATGCTCTCACCCGGCTCTATTTTTCTCTTTATCACTCTATCTCTATCTCCCCTCTTTCTCTTTCTCACGCATTTTCGTCCTTCTCTGGAGTATTTTGTTATCTTAATCGGATATTTTCTTTCTCTCTCTCTCTCACCTTCTGTCTATAAGTTTCTCTTTGTCCACATTGTCTCTCACTCTCTGCTACATGTTTCTTTCTTTCTTTTGTCACTTTCTTTACGGACACACACACACACACTCTCTCTCTCTCTCTCTCTGTCGCTACCTACGTCTCCACACTTCTATCTCTCCCTCTCATATATCAGCACATTGATTAATTCACTGTATATTTTTTATCTTTATTTTCCACTTTCTCTTTGTCTCTATCCTTCTTTTCCTCAGTTCCTTTCTTGTTTTCTCCCCTCTCTTTCTCTCTCTCTCTCTCTGTCCAGCTCCCTCTCTCTTTCCCTTTCTCTTAAATGCTAAAAAAAAAATTTACCATAACTTGAACGTACCAGTAAATGGATTTGAGAAACCTGTTTCCCTAAGAAATTGTTTTATGAGAAAGATTTTATAAATGTCGACCGAAATCAGTGCTGGCTGCTTGGTCAATGAATACCAAATGTATCCTTAAAGGGAAACGGCAGATGTTAACATTACTATTACTAGTTATGTCAGTCACTTCATTATCTATCTATCTATCTATCTATCTATCTCTCTCTCTATCTATCTATGCTAGCTCATATCTATCTATTTATCTATGCTTGCTCATATCTATCTATTTATCTATGCTTGCTCATATCTATCTATCTATCTATCTATCTATCTATCTATCTATCTATCTATCTATCTATCTATGCTTGCTCATATCTATCTATTTATCTATGATTGCTCATATCTATCTATCTATCTATCTATCTATCTATCTATCTATCTATCTATCTATCTATCTATGCTTGCTCATATCTATCTATCTATCTATCTATCTATCTATCTATCTATCTATCTATCTATCTATCTATCTTATAGGCGTGTGGCCGAGTGGTTAGAACGTTCGCTTTCTGACCATGAGATCCGAATCTCACCATCGTTGATTTGTCAAGAAAGAGACTTCCAGATGTTATCGGAATGGTTCGAGATCGATCCCAGCGTGCGGCCCCTTTATAAAGTGTCTGAAAAACATAACACTGGTTGAACCAAGCCTTGTGAGTGAAATTGGTGAGAGCGAACATTGGGGGCTGTCGATAGCTGTGCTAGCACGAAGTCACAAGTCATTGTGACTGAGGGGTGAGTGAGCTGGCCTTGTTCAGATTGTTGATCACGCTAGATAACTATTACGAAGGTTTGCTCAGCATAGTTGCAGTATAAACCACAGGTGGGCACCTGGGGGTGTTTACCAAACACAAATGTGCCTGAGCGAGCGTATGCAATAGGGATTGGCTAACCACCCTAATAGACGGGTATCCTCGAATACGATTGGCCAGCTAGTATTACTATCTATCTATCTATCTATCTATCTATCTATCTATCTCGGCTTGTTCATATCTATCTATCTATCTATCTATCTATCTATCTTGGCTTGTTCATATCTATCTATCTATATATCCGGCTACCCCAATGCGGTGTAATGTTAGCAAGCTTGTCTCGCTTGATTAATTACCACTGAATAGCGAGTTCGATTCTTGCTGGGTGCCCCAAACTTAAGGCCTTAAGTGACATGTAAGCCACGCTTGGAAAATGTTTTGGGCATCTCGGCGAGATATAATGAATAGTTAGCTTGTATCATTAGATGAATTTTGGCTGAGTAGTGAGTTCGATTCTCAGTCGGGGTACAATATTTTCTGCATTGTTTCACATCTAAGGTACGCTTAGAAAATATTCTGTATACAAATTTATCCAATGCATTCGTTATAGACAAAAATACGTTCAACCACCAGAGAAAAAAATGGTAAGATTAAAAGTACCAAATATGCATTAGAACAGATACTAACCTAAACAAAATATAAGCACGGCATTTGAACAAATATCACTTGTCTTTAGAGAAATGCACTTTTCTCAAATCAACAACCATAAAGAAACATTAGAAAATAAAGGGAAATAACTAACTTTTGTTGCAAGATCATCATAACAATGACAACATTAATTCATTTCCGTTTAATAAAATTTAGTAATTATATCACTTAGCGTCTTTCGTAATTACCCATACTTTTGAGAATATCG